TGACAGCTGGACAAAATGTGCAGATGATGAAAAACATGAAGCATAGTTTGAACTTGTGTCAAGTTTGTGTTCGTGACTGAACTGCTGACCTGCTGTGAAACCTGCTGCTGGATCTCTGTGCTGTGCATGTCGGCCTCTGACTGAAGCGTCATTTTCAGCACTGTTTGCTTTGTCACTGCTAAAACGGAACCACATATAAAAAACAAACATTAGTGTTTTACATGATGACAGGATCTTACAGTGTTTGCTCTCTGGACCTCACCTGTGAAACAGAAAAAATAGTTACTCCTGCTGCAGTGGTCATCAGCCCATTTCCCTGACATTAAATTCAGTGCTCCACAGTACTGTGAGTTGTAGTTATTAGGTTGAGAAGACATCCAGTTAGTGAATGTGGAGGTTGTGTTTTCAGACCAGAAGGCCCAGGGATCCCTGTAGAGGCCAATCCACACATACTGAACCCCTGATCCATTCAAAGTGAGCGTGATGTTGGATTTCTCCTCTTTGCTTCTTATACTGGTCAGGTCTGTGTGGTATGTCCTGCAGTACGACTGAGCCGCTGACCAGGTGTAATTCTCCATCACGAAGATGTAACTTGTACTGCTGGCTGTGAATGTTTAATAGAGGAATTATATTTAAAATAGGTGAACTATGAATCCTATAAAATTGCAGACATAACTAGGGTAACAATCTATTTTCCTACCATCATAACACAGGAAAGGGTAAGAATCTCCACAGGGTTTATCATTCATCTGTGTTTGTCCCTGAAGAGCCACACAGTATTCATTTGCATAAGCACAATTTGGTTGGCCTTTAGCCCAGATCAAAAATTCATGTTTACTGCCAACATAAAAAAGTTTTCCCTCCATGGACCACTTCCAGCTGTAACGATCATCATAGAGACCTATCCAAGCATAGTCATCAATCTTTGGTGCCATTGAAACAAGCAGTTGGTTGATGTTGCTGTTGTAGATGGTGACCAAGTCAGTGAAGTGTTCTCTGCAGTAACTTTGAGCTTCAGTCCAGGTCACTGTCTGGTTCACAAAGTGGTATTCTCTGGAGTGGGGAGGAAGAGTGGAAAGCCCTCCTGAGAAAAAGGAGACAACATTTTTTAATTGGTGAAATTGGGTTTGTAGACAATTCATGGATGTTAAGTCCCCTGGCTAGTCTGGGGGGGGGGTTGAAAGGTTGAACATAAAGGTAAATAGTCAAGGAAGAGCCAAGATGGTAACTTTAAAAGGTTTATTTAAAGCTAGTAATGAACTTTTGGTACAGACTGAGAGTTAACTTCAGGGAGAGCCAAGGCCAACATAACAAACAAAACATCCCTGACGTAAAAATAAAATAAACTGACCTAACCCCAAAGAAAACAAAATATACAACCTATAACCATAACCTACCTAGCAACACATAAACAGGAGAAAACAGGGTGTCAAAACAATGCATGTAGAAATTGAGAGGTCTCAGGAGGGTCCATGCTGACATCTGCTGTTTTCTGGCAGAAAGCACCATGCCCCTCCCATGTTTTCAATGCACTTTAGAACAGCATGTAGCAACACCACATATGAGCAGGCAGAGAGAGGCATGGGGCCTTTACACCCCTGTTCTCTCTGGAGGAGGAGAAGTTGGCGATCAGATCTGGGTCTGGGATGCTGGACCTCCCTGCTGCTGCAGGACCGGGGGCGGACTGCTTGTCTCCACCCCAGGGAAGAGGGCAACATCTCCTGAGTCTTGGGTCCCCTCTGGGGACAATAGTTCTGGACATGGGGTATAGAATATGTTTGGGGAGTGTGATTGTGTTTGTTAATTTCTGTTTGTCTTCACATTGGTCCGCTCTGGTGCAGCTGGCTGCCGGCAGAGCCCCCAGGCACGTCACTGTAGCCCCCTGTGGTTTCTGCACTCTGTGGCTGCTGGGTGACCCCTCATCTGGGGCTCTCCTCAGCTCTTTCCAGGAGGGTGGCGCGGCTGCCCCTCTAGTGGTCCTCTTTGAGCTCTTGCTCTGAGAGGCCTCTATATGTCACATGGGTGCTCACAGACACACTAAATCTTCCTTTGCTGCTGCTGCTTTATAGCATACTGTGTGCTGTTGGTCTTGCGTGCTGCTCAGTAACGTTCAGTATTTATCATTTACTGTTACTTATACTTATCTAGATTGTTGCTGTGGAGATTTGTGGTCTTTTCACACTAGACTTTTCCCCTCGGTTTTTCTTTCTTTTCCTGTCTTTCTTTCTACTTTCATTGTCTGGGCAAGTCTGAGTAACTTTCCACAGCATCGGCTCTCCTATATCTATATATATCTGGCAGCGCACACAATGAGTCTTTGCCAGATTGTCTGCTAACCTCTGTTAGTTCACAGCCTCATGTTTCTGTGTATCTCTCAGTGTGCATTACTAACCTCTCTCTTCCTGTCTCCTAGTCGGCACCTGGACTCATCATCCAAACCCTGCCATAGCCAGCTAAATCCTTTTCATGCAAACTGCCATTCACACCTGCCTGCCTCCCTGCGCACCCGTAAAGGACTCAGTACTCGCCCAGACCTCGCCTCACCTCCACCTCCAGCTTATCCCTGCCTGCAAACACGTAAGCCATCTCAGCTTATGAAACTGGGAAACTCTCACAACTCCTTGGACCGTTCTGATTATCCTCTCCTTCGTTTCAGTGCCCCTGGTCTGCCATAGTTTCCACCTGCCCCACCCACTCCAGCCCTCAGCAGTTTTTGTGACCTGACAGTTTCATGCTTAGCCTAAGCCCAGCACTTCACAGACACCACGCTTGTGCACAAAATCTTGTTTTTGTCTTGATTATCTAAGTTAGGAATTCTTGTAAATAAAAATTTTGTTTTTGCAAATCACGTCAAGCCCCCGGTCTTTTGGTTCTGTGCTTGAGTCTATTCCACTTCACGGGCCTCTGAGCCATGACATCTACTTTTCCTATCCTCCAGTCATGTCTGTCCTGCTTGTAATAACTTAAATTAAATTAAATTAAATTAAATTAAATTAAATTAAATTAAATTAAATTAAATTAAATTAAATTAAATTAAATTAAA